GTTGCCGCAGGACCTTGAGAGGGAGCTGCCAGTCACACGAGCCAGATTCAGAAGGACGTGGAGCAAGCGTTAGCGTTGCTGTTACGGGTGGACCTTGGCTGATAGCAGAGAGTATCAGAAAGCTCTGTCTCACTGTCTGTGCAAGAGTGCTTGACGGTGGGGATCGCAACCAACAATGGGTCACGAGGAGAAGAATGAGAAATCCAGGTGACTTCATTGTGCTCTTGAAAAACCCATCCTTGGACCAGGAGGTGGACATGCAAACAGAACAAGAGGACCCTGCATGGTTTTAAATCAGGAGAGGCTGTGTGTGTGTGTGTGTGTGTGTGTGTGTGTGTGTGTGTGTGTGTGTGTGTGTGTGTGTGTGTGTGTGTGTGTGTGTCAGGGTTGTATCCTCTCGCCATGCTTGTTCAATCTGTTTGCTGAGCAAATCGTCAGAGAAGCTGGATTACCCAAAGAAGAATTTGGCAACTGATCACAATGATCAACATATAACCCCCTCCCAGGGGAGTGGACAACAGAAAAGGGGTGAAGGGAGACAGTGGTTAGTGTGAGACATGAAAATTTTATATATATATATGTGTATATATATATATAAAATCAAGGGTTCATGGGGGAGGGAAACAATGAGCTGATACCAAGGGTTCAAGTACAAAGAAAATGTTGTGAGAACGGTGATGGCAACCAATGTACAAGTGTGCTTGACACGATGGATGCATGTATGGATTGTGATAAAATCAGAAAGAGCCCCCAATAAAATGAGTAAAAAGAAGAAGAAATTGGCATCAGGATTGGAGGAAGGCTTATTAACAATCTGTGATATGCAGATGACCCCGCCTGCTTGCTGAGAGCCAGGAGGGCTTGAAGCACTTGATGAGGATGGAAGATGCTGTCTTCAGCATGGATTACAACTCCATGTTAAAAAAAAATAATCCTCCAAGCGGACCCATAGATAAGATCATGGCAAAGATCAAAGCTGTTGAGGATGTAATTGTCCCTGCACCCACAGCCCACGCGCATGGAGACAGCCGTGAAAAAGCATCCTGCCACACGCAGTGGGCAGAGCTGCCGCTGAGGCCTGTCCAGGGCGCTGAGGAGCGAAGAGGTCACTGAGGACTGAGGTGCCCTGATTCAAGTCATGTTCCAGGCGCCTCTTGTACATGGGAAAGCTGGATCATGGAGCGGGGAGAGCAGAGGGATGTGGGTGCATTTGAGGTATGGTGTTGGCAAAGATAGCGACCACGCCCCGGGCTGCCAGCAGAACTGAGACCTGCCTCAGAGAAAGTACCCAAACCAAACGCAATGCCATTGTGACTCAGTGATGCTGCTACAGGGTGTGGGGGGATGGGGGACAACGGCACAGTAGACCTGCTCGTGGTGGTTTCCAGGATTGTACATCATTGCGGGAGTAGAAAGCCTCATCCTTCTCGTGAAACAGCTGGTAGTTACCAGCCCAATGCGTAGTCCATTACATCACCAGGGCCCCAGAATATTCCTCGGTCCCAGGGACTTACACGGTAAAGTAGGTCCACACAAACAAGGAAGACTGTCCAGCGGCTGGACAGACACAGTGGCTGCAACCACAGGTTCCAAAATAGCAAGGACTGTGAGGACGGAGGGACTGGGCGGAGTCACATTTGTTGTACAGAGCCACCCACTGGGGGCTTCAGCCGCCCCCTAACCTTGGCGCAGTGATGCTATTGGGGACTTCAGTTCTGGGTGCCAGTCTTGTCTGCCCGATGTCATCGCCAGGGTATCATTTGGGTCCATCTTGAGAGAGGTGTACTGGCAGAATTCATCAAAGAAACCCATCGGGGTGACAAATGAGCCCATCCCTCCAACTTCTGGGCACCGGGACTAGGAGGCCGTGACTGAAAGCCGATGGACTGCTGGCCGCTGACCCGGACACTACAAGCACCCACATCTTAGTGCCGCTCAAGGAGGCTCTCCTACAGGGGGTGGGGCTCTGGGAGGGACACCTGTGGAAATGACTCTCTGGGTCACAGTGGCCTCAACTAGCCCCCCGTCACTGGCCCTGATTTACAGAGTCTTAGTCTATTTAGAAAGGAGCATTGGTGGCGCTGTGTGTTAGGCACTGGGGTGCTAACCCCAAGGTTGGTGGTTCGAGCCCACCAGCCACTCTGCGGGAGAACGATGAGGCTGTCTGCTCACAGGAAAGATTGAGTCTCTTGGGAACCTTGTATGGGGTCGCTATGAGTCAAGAGTGATCTGATGGCAGATTGGGTATTCCATGTAGATGGGAACCAATCCACGGAACCCTTGCAAACTAGCTTGGGCCGCTAGGCAGTGGGGCCATTATGAACACCCAGTCCCAAAGGGGTTTTTCTAGTTCTCCCTAAGCATGGCCTTAGAGCTCATAAAAATTAAATGAGAAAACCCAACCTCTGCCATGGAATCGATTTCCACGCATAGCAATCCTGTCGGGCAGAGAGCAGGACTGCTCCTTGGGGTTTCCAGGACTGTAACTGTCTACGGGGGCAGACAACCTCATTTTTCTCCCACAGAGCGGCTGGTGGGTTTGAATCACTGACCTTAAAGTTAGCAGCCCAATGATGCTCATCCCACAGTGCCACCAGAGCTCCTTATTATAGCTTACACACACGTGCTTTGGCCCCACTAATTCCAGTCAGCCTGCTATGGAGGAGGACATCGTGCTTGGTAACGTGGAGGGGCAGTGAGGGAGGCAGGCCCTGCAGGAGATGGTGGACACGGGCTGCAGCAGTGGGCTTGAACATAGGAACCATTGTGAGGAGGGCGCAGGGCCGCGCTGTGTGTCCTTCCGTTGTGCACGGGGTCGCTATGGGTCAGAGCTGACTCGATGGCCCCGAACCACAACATGTTTTGCCTCTGCCACCAATACTGTCTCTTTCCAAGCGTCCTCGTCACCCTTCCCTGACACTGACGGCAGACCTCGCCTACCACAGTCCCATCTGCCACCTCCCTCCCACCTGGAGACTAATAAGCCCTCATCCCGAGCACTGGCTCCTTCTGGATGTTCTGTGTCAGGCCCACTTGGCTCTGTGTCCTGGAGGGAGTCCCAGGGCTTCCTGTCTCTATGGAGCTGCTGGGCCCTGTTGTCCATCTCATCTCTCTGTGAGGGACACTTGGCTTGTGCATCTCCATCTCTCTGTGATGGACAGTTGGCTTGTTTCCACCTCTTGCCTCCTCGTTGGTTCCAGCCCACAGAGACCCCGTCTGTGCCCAGCAGTACAAAGACCTCCATCTTCCCAATGGTTCATCTGTTGGAGTCCATCCATGTAGCCGTGGCGTCCGTCCATCCCATCGAGGCTCTTCCTCTTTTCCTCCTCTGGGCTAAAAATGACGTGTCACAGTGGACGCCACTGGGCAAGGACCTGTGGACCCGCTGGGTGGCGGGAAAGGCGGGGCTGCCTGTTCCTGTAAAGCGTGACAGTCCTCTGTCCTGTCCGGTCCCTGTGAGTCGGCATCATCGATGCGCTGGCAGGGAGTTGAGTTGCTGGTGGTCATTCTTAGGAGCCCCCCAGGTGAAGTGCACGGTTCGTTCGTCACCCAGCCACTCTGCAGGAGAAAGACTGGCAGTGTCGGCGGTAGTCCGTTGCTATGAGGACCACAGCACGGAAAACCCCTCGGCAGTGTTACTCAGGCGCTGCTCTGAATTGGGAACTACCCAACATATTCTCTTTCCACCTTTCCAGCGATCGGGATAGAGGTGGGGGAAATGTTCCTGTGGGGGGGGGGGCTTGAACTCCTGGCTGTTTTCTGCCCTGCAGCAGGACACACTGTGCCCCCAACCGCCCACACACCCTCATCTCATCTCTGTGGGTGCTAGGCTAGTCCTGTGACGAATTTCCTTCTCCTTCCTGGCCTGAAGGCCCCAGAGACAAGACTCTCTGGTTGCCCCAGGCGGCCTGGAGAAGGGGCTGTGGGCTGGCAGCTCCGTGAGGCTCAGGGGCAGCGGGCACCTGGGAGGGGGTACAGCCAGGCACCCCAGAGCCTGCGGCAAGCTCTGAGTGGGAGGATGAAGGGCTCACATAAATGCCGAATCATTCCTTGCTGGATCCCTTGTGAAGGATGGTTTCAATCACTCAGTTCTGTCTGCGTCCCCATGGCATTCCTCAAACCAGGAGAGGGGAGGGGGCAGACCAGTGCCCAGTGGGCGCTGCCCCCACCCCAACCAGGACTGGAAAAACTGACACTCAGAAGGGAGCACACCATGGACCTCCATCCAGAGACCAGCAGGATCCACTCTGCAGAAGCAGGCTGTGACTGCTGGGAGGGGCCTCCAGTTTGCGTCCCTGGGGCCTGGGTTCCCCTGCCCAGCCCCTGCTGCCCCCCACCCCCCACACTCCCCCTAAGGCTGCCCTAGAAGGCCCCTCCCTCAAGTCTGCAGACAAGCCAAGTTGAAGGGGGGTCTGTAATTGGAATGAATCCTCAGACAGACCTCTGCCCTCCCTGGCACACACCCCTGCTGCTCCCATCTGGCTGGTTTTTCAGGACTCTGGGGGTTACCTTTCCCCAGGCCAGGCTGCTGCGTCCCTCCGGGTGGAGCGGCTGCCGGGAGCTCCCGGAGGCCCTGCCTGCAGCACCCCCAGGGACCGCTCTCCTGCCCCCACCCTCACAGCCCCCCGCGGCCCCGGGGAGGACAGATGACTGGGCCGGCTGCGACCAAGCCACCCGGGGACCGGCCCTAGGCCGGGGGCCCTTCCGCCTGTCCCCTCCCCCCACGCCTCCTTCCCGCCCGGGAAGCGCCAAGGTCGCAGAGAGGCGGGGTCCGTTTCCCGGGAACCGAGGGGCACCGCCACGCCGGCGCGGGCAGAAACGGGGCTCCGCGCCCAGAGGAGCCTCGGGGGGCGTCTGCCTGGATCCCAAGAACCCCTTCTTCGACCCCGCTCTCCTTCACCTGCAGATGTTCCTGCTCTCCGACTTCCCTCCACTCTCCATCCCTCCCCATTCCGCATCCCCCCCGCCCTGCTCCCTTCTCCCCTCCGCGGCGATCCCCCCACCCTCCTTCTGAGACTCCCCGCTCCCCCCAACCACGCCCCCTCCGCTCCCCGTTTCCTAGTCACCCCTGCTGTCTCCGGGTCCGCATCCCCAGGCTGCTCTACAAGCGCCCCCTTTCTCGACCCTCCATCCAGGGTCTCCGCCCCCCATGGCCCGGCTAGGCGCCCTGCTGGTGGCCGCCGCCCTGGGCGCGCTGCTCAGCTTCGCGCTGCTGGCCGCCGCGGTCGCCAGTGACTACTGGTACCTCCTGGAGGTGGCGGACGCGGGCAACCGCAGCGGCTCCGGGAGCGCCGAGCTGTCCTCGCACTCCGGGCTTTGGAGCATCTGTGAAGGTAAAAGAGCCTCTCGGGCCTGGACGCCGCCTCTGCCTCTCCCGCACCCCATACCCCACAGGCGCCCCCACCCTTGCCTGGCCCCACTTCCCACAGCTCCAGGTCGCCCCGCCTGCAGCCACCCTGCAAACTGTGCCGTGTCGCTAGGGAGAAAGCAGTAGGGGCGCAGGGATTCGGCACCTGGGAACTGCAGCTTAGCCTAAGGCTCTGTCTCAGCCAAAGGCAGCCAGGCCTCTGAGTGGGCGACCCCCCCCCTCCCTGCCCCACTCCCTGCATAGCCTGGTTTCTCCCCAGAGGAGTGGGCAGGGCTCTCTTCTCCACTAGCTTGTCAGGGGAGAAATGGTGGACAGGGCTCAGATGGGCCCACCCTTGGGCCAGTCCAGTGCGGAAGGGGGACAGACGGGCAGTTCTGAACAGTCCTGCGTACAGGGCCCAAAGGAGCCCCCTGTACACTTGTGGGTTCCTTTAAAGCCAAATCAGACTTCCTCACTCTCACATGTGGTAGGGTCCCTGCCCCCAGAGCCCCCCTCTGCTCTACAGGGTGCAGGATTCTATTCTGTGTGGGTGCACGCACGCAAAGACCTGATGGCTTAATGCAGTGACCAGACGCCCACTGCAAGATGGCTGGTCTTCAATAAACAGAAGTTGAATTTTAAAAATGTGTGTGCGCGC